TTTTTTTTTTTTAAGCTGTAGCACCAAACATCTTCAGTATTTGGTGCGGACGTCTCACATCTTTTTGTTTGCCAGTCTGCTTTAATGCAATAATCACACAAAAAAAAAATCAACTCTCAAACATTTTGGGTTGCGCCCCCCTTTAAACCTATAAAAAAATATTTTTTTATTTTAAAAACCTACAGGGAAAAAACTCCTGCATCACTTGAAACATTGAAAAATAGCATAGAGAGAATAACTGTTATTATTATTATTCTCTCTCTGTTATTTATTTATTTTTTGTGGGTTTCATGCTGTTTAACACGAGCGGCAAAATACAGTAGAAACCATTATAACCAGTGACGCTGTGTACACTGGATGTGACGCGACAAGACAGAAACCAACATTAAACTCATGCCTTGTTCTATTTATGACGTACTGACACAAAGTTCAAATGATTTGCAACGGTCACTTTGTCGCATCCAGTGTAGGGCTGTTGCGGTGCGACGTGACAACTGTAGCGTCTGGTATAGACACAGTGAGTGAAGCCTATGCCTCGTCATATTTTCTGAATTTAGCTTTTGAATGACCAGCATCGTCCTTTGGCTGTTTACGGTTTTATTTCTTTTCTTTTTCTGCTGATGGCCCGCGTTCGACTTGAAGCAGCGCTGCTTAGACCGATGGGTGTGTGTCATCAAAGCACTACGAGAGCTATAAGAGAGCGCGGACGTCTCCTTATGCTTTCTCTCGCCATACTTTGATGTCATACACCGATCGATCTTCAAGTCGAACACACCTCTTTACTCTCGCGTGTCACGTGACCATGTAATCGCTGACACAAAGTTAAAATTATTTGCAACGGTCGCTTTGTCGCGTCAAGTGTACAGTAGAGCTGTTGCGGCGCAGCATATAGACACGGTGAGTGAAGCCGAGAGCAAGATATGCCTCGTCATATTTTCTGCATTTAGCTTTTGAATGACCGGCACCTGCCTGGGTCTGTGCGACTTCATCTATGGCTTTTCTCTTCCCTTTCACAAACCGATCCATCTCCCATTCTAAGTTACGTCCTTTGTCTGTTAACTGTTTTATTTCTTTTCTTTTTCTGCTGATGGCCCGCGATGGGTGTGTGTGTCATGAAAGTACTGCGAGAGCTATAAGAGAGTGCGGACGTCTCCTTATGCTTTCTCTCGCCATACGTTGATATCATACACCGATCTGATCTTCAAGTCAAAAACACGTCTTTACTCTCGCGTGTCACGTGACGAAGTGTAATCGCAGCCTCTGCGATTGAAAAATCGCGTTTTTTCATATGGCGATATCGCAAATGCAATTAATTGTTGAGCCCTAGTTTCACTGCACTGTTTTGAGTCAGTTTTCAAGCTCTAGATGGATATCTTTGACCGCTACACTGTCTCACTGCTCTTTTAAAGATGCTCTGGCAAATTAAACCAAGTTCAACTTTTAAAAAAGCATCTCTTTTCCATTCCTCAGCTCTGCATTTCACATTTTTAAAGTGCAAAAACATGTTCTTTGTGAGCGGCCCGTTTGTGTGTTTTCATGTACTACTGCTGATGGGACGGTTTTGGGTCTTGTACAGTATTTGAGTTTGTTCATGAATGTTTAAAGACATTTGTAGGAACTATGTCATCAGTCTGTCTTACAATAACGTCGTACAAGAATCCGGCATTGTAGTCTACTCTCCCAGGGTCAGGTAACAGTCCTCCATAAAATGCGCTGCACACATCTGAATATTTGGGTTGAACTGTTCTGGAACAGTGTTGTAAATACAACTTAACCACTGATTTCTAGTCGTGTCCTCTTTTGGAAGACCAAACAAAGTAGTTTCGCTTTCACAACGAATCACACAGTGTCTCCACGACATGGCGGCGGCGGCGGCAACAACAATACTACAGCGAGAATAAAAGTTACGCCTTCTTTCTTTTGCGTGAACATTTGGGCGGCGTTATGCAAATCTTCCCACATCGTGACGTAGACATGTGGGGGCGTGTTAGAACGAGGCGTTTTAGGTAGGCGTGGGTGACTCTGAACTTTTATAAAGAATATCTCTTTGGATTTGAAACTTTAGTCTTTGCAACTTTACAGATCTTCTTTATGCACCAAGAGCTTGTAACACTCCAAAGAGAAAGGAAAACTTGAAATCGCATCATATGACCCCTTTAACAATATCTATGAAATTATACTTTTTCTTACTGATGTCACACTGAAGCTGTGTGATTTTCATAGTAGTGCACCCTTTAAGTTCACCTTAAAATAATATGAAATCTTTAAAAAAAATACTGCATTATAAAACCACAGACCAGCAATAAACTGTTCATTTATAATATTATGAATGTGTAAAAGTACAAGCCAGTAATGCCTGTGAAGCAATATATTAGCGTAGCACACGATCTTATACAGCTAGTCAGCTAACTGTTCTTTAGCCTCTGCGCTATGTTACTAAAACTATCTTTTGGATCTAACTAATTATTTCCCACATCCAAGTTCCAGGTTGTAATCTGCAGAAGTCTAAACGTTAATCTCTTAATTTTACAATAAGTAGTGAAACTTACACAAAATAAAGGCTTAAATATATTTTAAAAAATATACATTTAAAGGGCTCCTCTTTTGGTGAAAGTTTTCAGACAGCTTTCAAAATGGCCGCCAGACAGTGTGAACACATGGAGTGTCGTATCTCAGTGCGCAATGATCTGATTGACTTGAAATTACAGGAGGTATGTAGTAACAAATTTGTTAAGACATCAAGTATGATAATACATTATTTTTTCTTTTTATAATCTGAGCTCAAATATGGAAGTGAGCTTAATAGGTACGTTTACCCTATAGTCAATTTCATATAATCAGACTTCAAATAATCACAATTTCAGTTTTATTCCATTTAATCGTGCAGTGCAGCTATGTGAAATGAGCATCATTTATGAACACAAGATCATTTTGTTTAAGAGAAGTTATGTTTATTTGTTGATTATCTTTTTTGATTGATTACATTTTTTAAAAGTGAAATTCAGCATTTTATTAAAAACCATGGAACTCGCGTATAGATTAGCATTTAAAAGTTTGGGGTTGGTGAGGGTTTTTTTTATGTTTTTGAAATTAGTTTATTATGCCCACCAAGGCTGCATTTATTTAATGAAAAATACAGTAAAAACTTTAATATTCTGAAATATTATTACAATTTAAAATAGCTGTTTTCTGTGTAAATATATGTTAAGATGTAACTTATTTCTGTGATCAAAGCTGAATTTTCAGCATAATTACTCCAGTCTTCAGTGTCACATGATCCTTCAGAAATCATTCTAATATGATGATTTGCTGCTCAAGAAACATTTCTCATTATTAGCAATGCTAAGACAGTTGTGCTGCTTCATATTTTTGTGGAAACTGTGATACCTTTTATTCTTCAGGATTCTTTGATGAATAGAAAGTTCACAAGAACAGCATTTATTTGAAACAATTTTCTATCTAACCTCAAACTTTTGAGTGGCTGTGTATGACAACACTTTTGTTTCTGTTTCTGATAGTGTTTCGGCTCTGAACCGGCCGGAGAAGAAGAAGAGGAAGAAGCTGATGAAGGACTCTCTGTCTCTGGCCGCTATGATCCGCCGCTTTAACCGCGAGAAAGAGGAGATCCGTAAGAAGAACCCGGCGGCTGCAGTCAAACTCATCCGCGCTCCTCCGAACACCGCTGCCGCCGCCGCCGTTGCCCCCAGCAACGACCTGTCCATGGCCGACCTGACCTCTGACCCGGCTGTGATGTCACTGCTGGGCGGAGCCACGGAGAACGACATGCTGCAGGAGCTGATGGGCGACCTGGACTTCGGCCTGCTGGACTCTCCTGGGCCGTCCAGTCCGGGGCAGAGTGAGAACGGCACCGCGGCAGCCCAGAAGGCAGGAGCCGCGAGTCGAGTGCAGAAGATGGGGCTGATGCCGCCACCACCGCCTCTTCCCAGCAGCCTTCCCGCTCCGCTGCTCAAACGCATCGAGGACCTGCGCGTGGTGAGTGCTGAGCTTTACATCCAGATCACAGATCTGTGCTTGGTTCCAGCAAAACTGATTCATGAGCCGTGTTTATTAACGTTCACACGGGATGCTTTCAAGAACAGGAGCGTAATGGAGTGGAGGGCTGAACTGTTTTTTTTATCCGTCTGCGTGTGTATACTGTAGAGTTTAATAGTAATACAGCCACCAAAGCAGCACTTGTGTGCAACAATATACTTCAAGATAATAACTGTCTGTCTGACTTCAGACTATGGCTGCACGATTTGGGGGATAAGTCAGTTATTGTATAATTATTGTTTAATTATAATTAATTATTATTGTTAAAAATAGTATGCAAAAAAAAAAAAAAGAGTATTTAAAGGTCCCATATTGTCAAAACTGAAATTTCCTGGCTTTTTCATGATAACTGAGGTCTAGGTGCTATGTAACTACCATATAAGTTTCAAAACAGTCAATCAACAGACAAATGCACACAGCCTGCATAAAGTAGCTGTGACTTCCATAAAAAGGTGACGTCAGAACTACAGTCACCGCCTTCAGTCACCACCCCGAGCACCGCCCACCGTCCCACTCTCCTTTTGCCAAACCCCCAGACAACATCGCGTCCATGCCATTGCTGAGCAACAACAACACGGAAACATGTCAAGAAAACGCTGTTCAGTCGATGGATGTCAGGAAACTACATTGCACAGGCTTCCGAACTAGGGTTGGGCCGATGACTGATAGACTTCACGATATTTAGCCGGCATAATGATCCTCCCATCCCCCCCTCCCCCTCATACCCCCCGCAATCCGGGCGCATCCCAAAAACAGTGTTTGGAAAGAAAATTACGTGTACTACGGAACCCCTAAAGTTAATAAATACGAAATGAGAGGAAAATATATATTTCAATATTTTCTCTCGCAGTTATATCATTGGGTAATTATACTGTTTAAATTGCGGACATCAGACAGGGAGCTGCTATTATGCCTGGCATTGAAATTTTAGTTTCACTTTCACTTTCGAGATTCGCAAACGCACATACTTTATGGAGCGGCAGTACTTACCACACATTTGACAAGATTAGATGTTTGTCAGAGTTGCTCAGGATCTGCAATTCGGCCATCATTACAGGTGTTTCTATTTTTCTATTTGTCATAGCAGGCTACAGCATACATGACCCTGCGGCACTCAGAAAACAACAGGGCAATCAGAAGAGAGGCTCATGAATATTAATTAGACAGACCAAACTCGACCTGTTCAAAGCAGAGCTCCTGAGAAAGGAGCTGTAGAATATATATTTAGATGGTTTTTGGTACTTATACTGCAAATATATATTCTTAAGGACATCAAAACCTAAAATAAAACTCCAGAAAGGTGTATAATATGTGACCTTTAATAATAATATAATAGCGATACCAATACTAATATTTATGGCTGTCATAATTCTTTCACTTTTAAATATATTCTGTTAGTTTAATTAAATTGCAGTCTTTGTGATGTGATAAACTGTTCCATACAGCAATTTCGGATTTATTCTGATTAATTGTGCAGCCCTGATTTTGATTATTTTTGTTTTCAGAGTGATTTCAGATTTCAGTATTTTCTTTAAAAAGCATTCTCTCCTGCATTGCACAGACCCGACTAATCAATAATGACTGTTGCATGTTTTCATGATTGATCTTCAGTAATTTTATGAATGTATAGTTTGTGTGTGTGGTCTTTTCTTTCCAGGCAGATTGTGAAGGAGAGAGAGGAGGAGACGAGGTAGAGAGAGGTGTAGGAGGAGCAGACAATCATGATAGAGAGAAAATAGACAGAAAACAGTCAGAGCAGGTGGAGGGAGAGGTTAGAAAGATGGAAAACAGGGTAAAATAGTGTCAGTACTCCATAACTATGCTGTCTATTAATACAATGGATCATTTTAACAGACAGATTTGAAATGCTGCAATATACATGTTTACGAACACAATGCAACAGTGTTTTTGATTTAGTCTTAGTCTTTATCTTCAGACAAAAATGCTTAATAGTTTTAGTCATTTGAGTCTTGAGGCCATTGTTTCAGGTCGCTAGTTCGCGTTTTGGTAGCCTATCCATCCACTGCGGCTGCCATACTGAGACTAGATATGCAAAGGCCCCTCATCCGATTGCAATCCAATGACAGGGACACACATTTTGAAAGACAAGACAGTTAACTTAGCCTATAGGATGTATTTTGAATGTCCGGTAGTCCTCAAATAACATTCTAGTCCCGTCTCGTCTTGTTAACGAAGACGCGGCATAAATTTCGTCATTTATTAGGGCTGCACGATAAATCGCATGCGATATTTAATGCGCATCTTATCAGTAAAGCCGGTTCTGTAATGAGCGGTAAATCTCCATCACCTGCAGACTTTCACCGACGAGCTGCGCAAAACCACGTTCATATTCGCACGTTTTTTTGCGCAGCTCGTCAGCGAACAACGGCTCTGTGTAGTTAATGCTGCTCAATGTGAAAGCCCGCAGGTGATGGAGATTTACCGCTTATTACAGAACCGGCTTTCTGACAAGATGCGCATTAAATATCGCATGCGATTTATCGTGCAGCCCTCGTTTTTATCATCAGATATTAGTTTTAGCTTGTCAACGTCTCATCTTAGTCACTGAAAAAAGGTTGGTTAATGAATTTTTTTTTTTGTCGTCTTCGTTGACTAAATTAACACTGCAATGCAAACAGTTAAACTGCATTTGAGCTGCTGTTAAACGCTTGTTTTCCTCCCAGGCGTCTCGTCAGTTCGATATGGAGGGCAGGAAGAAGTTTTTCACGCTGGACATGAACAACATCCTGCTGGAGTGAGTTCATTCGGCCGTTGTTTTCGTTTTCGAGTCTCTCTCTGGTGTTCATCGTCTCACTCGTTCTCTCCGTCTCTGTAGCATCGAGCTGCAGGTGCAGGAGCAGCCCGCGACGGTGTGCGCCGCCGTCTACTCTCATCTGGAGGCCTTCGTGCCGTGCAATAAAGAGGCTCTGCTGAAGCGGCTGAAGAAGCTCAGTCTGAACATCCAGGACGACCGGCTGCGCACGCCGCTGCACAAGCTCAAGCTGGCCGTGTGCAGCGTCATGCCGGAGCAGATTGTGCGATACAACATGGACTGCATGGCCAAAGTCGCCAAGTGAGAACCTGGACTAACATCATTTAATTAAAATAACTACATTTCAGGATTGCGGAGGTTTGAAGAGCTCGGTGTTTTTAGGGATCTCGCTCTTTTTGACCAGTGAATGACCAATGAAATTACTTTTCTGGTTGTTTGTTATATACATTTGCATTTTGTTTAGTATATGCTTTTCTCCAAAGCGACTTACAAAAGGAACTGAAAGCGGAACAAAAGCAATTAGTCAAAGAACTAACAACCTTTTTTCTTAATTTAAAGTTTTTAATATGCTTAATATAGACATGTATTTATTTTTATTTATATATGTACATATTGATCTTATTTCATTATTTACAATTTCTACCTAATGAAATATTGTAAAGATTGGCGTAACTTGAAAAATGTATTTAAAAATAATAATTTAAGAATGTAAAATGAATTAATTATAAAAATGCCCATTCAGTTTTAAGATTTTATAAAATTGTATGACTTTTCCAGGTCTAGATATTATATTTTTGAAATTGATTTTCCAGTTGCTTGTGATTTACATTGTTTATGCATTTATCGGATGCTTTTATCCAAAGAGACTTCCAAAACAGGAACAAAAGCAATTAGTCAAAGGACAAACAATATTCATAATATACAATCCCAGGTTTATTAGACAACTAGATTAGGAAGCAAGATAGAAAAGAGGAGAAATGAAGAGAAGAATTGTTTTTTTTTTTACCTACATTATTTTTATTTTTTTTGTACTGAAAATAGATATTTTTGCTAGTCACTATTTCTACCAAATAAAATATTTTAGAGCTTGGCATAACTACAAAAATACATTATAAAAATGTAATTAATGAAATATAGAAATTAAAATGAATTAATTATAAAAAATGCCCATTCAGTTTAAAGGTTTAATGAATTTGCATGAATTGTCAAAGTCTAGAAATCATATTTTTGAAATGAGGCTTCCTCCTATATCTAAGTTTTCCAAGACCATGGAAATCCTAGTTTTTCAAAGACCAAAAAAAAAAAGAATTGAAGTAAGAAATCTCTTGATTTTTGGCTTATTTGAATGCTTGTTTTGCAGGCAGCAGACAGAGGATTGCGACAGAAATGGCTCGGAGGACGACGATGATGAGAAGCCAGGAAAAAGAGTGATGGGCCCCAGGAAGAAATTTGTGTGGGACGACAAACTCAGGTGAGACTCCGAGATCACACACAGGAACAGTCAGTAATGTGAGACTCAAGATCGTCCTCAGGGAACATCTCCAGACAAACCAGCTGCTCAAGGATTCGCAACCTTGGTTTGACTCCGAGATGCTTTTCAAAGACAACGCTGCTTATTTCCCAACTTTTTTAATTTAAAGAATCAAGGAGCATATCAGATATGTAAATATAGTTGCGCAGGAAAAAATACTTGCACATTTACATACCTCGGGTCTCTAGCGACCCTATACACTTTTTACAAAACTTTCATCAGAAAACAGGCATTCTTTTATATTTTACTATTTTTCTTGTTATATTGTTTATAATGAATAGATTGAGGAATACTAAGAAAGTTGATGTCGAACTTTAAAAAATGAAGGGTAGAGAGGGTAGAGAATGATGTCCCAGGTCGCTAAAGACCCGATGGATGCATTTAAGGGTTAATATACTTTTATAGTTTAGAGTTAAGGTTGTTTTAGTATTATTAATTTATATTAATAATACTGACATTATTATTATTATTATTAACTTAATAAAACTAAAATAATCCTATTAATTTGTTTTATTACAATTTCCAAAACATTTGAAAGATTTTATTCTAAACATCTAGAAATTACCCTTAAATTTCCCCTCATATGTCCAGGTTTGTGACAGTTAAAATAAGACTTGCATGTTGTTGATGGAATTAATTAATGAAAGAGACCTGATGTCATCTGGAGTTGAATTCATTTTAGCTGATTTTAAAGCTTGTTTTGTCTTATTGTAGTCATCTAGTGGTTGAGTGAAGCTGATGTGTGTTTGCGCAGGTCTCTGCTGTGTAATCTGGTTCAGGTGAAGCTGGGCTGTTACGAGCTGGAGGGTCAGAGTTCACTCTCGCCTGAAGATTACTTGAAGGTCTTCATGGAGACGGAGGTCAAACCGCTCTGGCCCAAAGGATGGATGCAGGCCAGGTGGGTTTCTGCACCAGAACACTGCTGATGTCTGTGCTGGTAAAGCATGTTGAAGCGTGATTGACTTTCTCTTCCTCTCTGTTTCTCAGGATGTTGTTTAAAGAGAGCCGTGTGGCTCACAGTCACCTCACAGGAAATACGTGAGTATTTTACCCTTGGTTATTTTTAAACAAAAACAAGTCGTTTTGACCTATTTACTTTGTGCAGTGCTACGTTAAAGGGATAGTTCACCCAAAAATGAAAATTCACTGTTATTTTTCTCACCCTCATATCATCCAAGATATAGGTGGATATAGGAAGATATTTAAGTTGAAACCGTGCTGCTTGGTAATTCATAAAATACAAGTCAATGGCTGCCGTTACTTTGAGAGTCAAAAAAGCAAATACAGGCAACACTAAATTAATACCCATGGATCCTTATGATATTTTTAGCTCTTATGAAGCAAAACGATCAGTCTGTGCAAGAAAAAGTACATTATTTAAAACAATATTGCATGTAATCTAAAGCCTCTGGCAAACTGGGAAATCTGATTCTTTTTCACTAATTGGTTCTTTCAGACAATTTGTTTCAATGAACTGGTTCAATTCATAAATTCATTTATACAATCACACAATAATGAAACATATGTGCAGTTATATTAGTAAAGCACCCAATAATGATTTATTGTTTTACATTTCTAAAGCATATAAAGTGAATAAACTAGTCTTCATTAGCTCAGCTTTTTACATAAACAAAGAGAAACCATAAAAACACTAATTTGGCCCTTCATTCAAGTGTTCGGTTCGCACATGCACATATCAGCGGCTCATTGTTCTTCAGTCCGAGTCGAACCATTTCTTCAGTTCACTGACTGTTGGAGGAACTGGAGTGCTGAATGAGCTTCATCACCTTCATCACAGGATCAGATACGCCACTGTTTTGCTGTATTGAGCCGTGAACTGTTTGAGACTATTCAGTCCAATTTGGTGAACTGGTTCAGTTCCCTTCGTAACTCCTTCTACTTCATAACGCCTCAGTTTGTGACCCTGGAGCATAAAAGCAGTCATAAGTAGCACGGGTATATTTGTAGCAATAGCCAACAATACATTGTATGGGTCAAAATTATCCATTTTTCTTTTATGACAAAAATCACTAAGTAAATATCATGTTCCATGAAGATATTTAGTCAATTTACTACTGTAAATATATCAAAACGTTGTTTCTGATTAGTAATATGCATTGCTAAGATCTTCATTTGGACAACTTTAAAGGCGATTTTCTCAATATTTAGATTTTTTTTTGCACCCTCAGATTTCAGATTTTCAAATAGTTGTATCTCGGCCAAATATTGTCTTATCCTAACAAACCATACATCAATGGAAAGCTTATTTATTGTATATTAGATGATGTATAAATCTTAATTTTAAAAAATTGACCTTTATGACTGGTTTTGTGATCCAGGGTTACACATATCATCAGAAGCCATGGGTATTGATTTTTATTTATTTTTTAATCTTACCTGTATATTCTTTCTTGGCTCTTAAAGTGGTGGCACCCATTGACTTGATTATATGAGTCACTGAGGACCACGGTTTCAGATAAAAATCTGTACTTTTACTATTAAAGAAAAAAGTCACCTACATATTGAATGGCCTGAAGGTGAGTAAATTAACAGCAAAGTTTCAGTTTTCAGTGAACTATCCCTTTTAAAGTTGTACGTTTTTACTTTTACTCAAGTATGTTTTTGGCCAGATACTTTTACTTTTAATTGAGTACAATTTTCACTGAGTATCTGTACTGTACTACTCTTTACACCTCTGGTCTTGTGATTAAATGGCGCCTTTCTGTTTTCAGAGTAAAGAAAAGGATGTTACCGGCTCCGAAAGCCAAGCCCAAGCCTCAGGACAGCAGTGCGCTCCAGCGACCGTCCGTCTCTGTGGACTCCGCAACTTCTCCAGCCATCCAGCGTCCAGTCGTCTCAGTAGACACCACTGCTCGTGCTACTGTGCAGCGAGCGCTGTCCCCGCCGGAGCCCATCTGCCTGTCGGACTCTCTGGACGAGGACCTGGCGGCCCCGTCGCTGGACTCCATCTCTCACGCTTTGGCCATGCTGGGCAGCGTCGCCAAAGACCTGGCCCAGTCCAACAGCCCGCCGTCCGCTGAGCTCCCCAAACCGCCCCAGTCACTGCTCACGAATCCCCACCTGTCCAAAAAGAGTGGGAGCACCCCGTCTCTGCCTGCTCCTGCTCCCAGCGTCCTCTCCTCGATGCCCGCGTCTTCAGTCGTTAAAAGTGTGAGCGTCCTGCCGCTGGTTCAGAGACACTCAGTTATTCCCGCTCAGCGACCATCCGTGACTCCGCCCACCAAGATGGGCTTGTCTCAGGTGAAGCCCCGCCCTCCTCCAACAGCGTCGCCTCTTCACGCCCCTCAGAAGATTCTGGCGAGAAAAACGGTAGTCGCCATACCAACAGGCCTCATCAAAACCAGCAATAACAGCTCGGCACGCACGCTTCCCGCCGCTTCCTCGCCATCGCTTTTAAAAGTCAAATCCGTGCAGCCTTTCCATGTGACGCCGCAAGGCAAAAACCACGCGTCGCCCAAACCCGGCTTCATCACGCCCATGCAGGCCACCCTCACCAAGTCGCCTCACAACCCCAGCTCGCCCATCATCAAGCTCACGCCCACCGCCTCGCCCGTCATCACCAGAACGCCCACGTTACCTAGCATGCACCAGCACGCCTCCAATAGCCCGGGCTTCCACACAGGGTTCATTGCCGGCGGTTACAGTGCCCCCGTGGGGCAGAAGAGTTCATCTCAGGGCAACAGTATCTCTGGACTCACCATGACAACCGTGCCTGTCACCAAGCAACCGGCCACCAGCGTGTCACCGGTGACGGGGACGGTCAGTCACAGTCAGCGACACAGACAAGTGGGTGGAGCTAATCAGGGAGTGAAGACAATCACATCTGTGTCCACGGCCACAGCGTCTCCACTCTCACAGGTCTGTCTGCTCATGTGATCCAGGCCTGTTTTGGGCTTTTTAAATATAGATTAAATGTTAAAAAATGTTTTCATTCATGTATTATTATTTTTTACTTTTATACATTTTAATTAAACATGTATTTATTTGTATTTAGAACTTTCAAATATTTTTTTTTATTTAACATTGAAAATCTTTTATTTTATTATTTTAATTAGGCAGCTGTTTACAGCTGTTTTTTTCCCTTAAAGGAATAGAATTATTCTATTATTCCCCTAGAATAATTTTTTTAGTAATGATTTATTTAGTAAGTAATTATTTATGCCTCACATTTTGGAACAGAGCTTAACTTGAACTCCTAAGTATTCCTCAAAATACAAGCCACTACTAAAATGTTGTGTTTTTATTTTATACATTTTTATGAGTTATTTTATTAGTTGGCAAATTTGTACAAAAAATACAATTGTTAGACTCCATATTAGGGATGTGTTGCTTTCACACATAACGAGGTCTTTGTAAATGTGTGCTGTGGTCTTTGGCTGTAACAGTGTGATGATGATGGTGTTTTGCAGGTGTCGTCCTCCAGCGCTCTGCTGGGCTCGGCCGGTCCGTCTCTGCCGCTGGGCTTCGGGATGCTGGGAGGTCTGGTTCCCGTCTCTCTCCCGTTCCAGTTTCCAAACCTGCTGAATCTTCCTTCCTCTGTGGTTTCCACGGCGAGCACCGGCGCCTCGACCAATCCCAGCAGCTCAGGGTTCAACCTTCCCCAGAGTGAGTCCATGTGATCAATAAATACGGGGTAGTTTAGTATTATTTTTGAAGTCTTAGAAAGGTCAGTTCTATTTACCTTTTCAAATGACCCGTCGTCTTTATCACTGTGATGTTCCTCATACACATTTGTTTCATGAGCCTCTATTAGTGAATGTGCACATGTGTGTATTTATTGAATAACCACTATAACTATCTAACTATAAATCAGATTTTATTGGACTGTCCTGCTTTACATTATATTAGGCAACAGATGTATTCAGAAATTTCATATATAGACATATTAAAAAATACCATCTAACAAATACCATCCTGAAACGCTTATATACTTTGTATATTATTTTGAGAAAATATTGTTGAATTATTGTATATCACTTCTTTATATATTGACGTTTTATTGTTATTATGATTATTATACTTTCGGCTACTTTAAAAATATCCTGTGCTGCTAATATGACATTAATAAATGTAGAAAATAATACTTAAAAATGATAAATAAATATTATAAAATGAATTATATTTTTTGATGCAAAGTCATTTATATTAATTAATATAGTTATTTATATTTATATATTAATCTATGTATATAAATTTATATTGACATAATTACAATATTTATATAAATAGTTTATTATAGTTATCAACAGTTTTTTCAATCTATCAATATTATTTACAGTGCCTTGTGAAAGTATTCATTTTTTTCACATTTTATGTTGCTGCCTTATGTTAAACTGCTTTAAATTACTCCCCCCCC